AGTAGAGGCCCTAACGGATCTCTGGGTTGTGTTTCTGTAGTTTCAGGTGTGTGTGTGTGTGTGTTACGCTGCACTGTGCGACCTCCGAGTGCGCTCCGAGTGGACACTTGCAGTATTTCTGGGAGTGACAGTCGCCTGAGAATTCAAACTCCTCAATAGTCTGTTAAAACGTGACACTTTGTACCCTGTGTGTTCCTCTGTCCCTGTGGGTTCGACCTTTCTACCACTATATTGCAGTTTTAGCCTTTAGTGGGTTATTACAACGTTTGGTTTTGCTACACCATTCTTCTCAAGGTGGCCATGTTATAGAATATAACCGATTGTCGAAGTGAAGAGAATCTCCAATTTCAACAACCGGTGGCATGCTTTAGTAAAGCATGTGAAGTCACCAGTAAAGCAGCTGTTGGCAAAGTATATAGAATCACGGCAAAGCCAGATAAATACACCTAATTTTCCATACTCTATCTGAATTATTGCTTCTTCCTAGATTATATATCTTCCTAGATTCTCACACGGAACAAGGATCAAGACAATTACGCCAAAGGATAAGGAAATGACGAAACAATGCACGTACAGCAGGAAAGTATTAGAAGAAAAAGGGCCCAGAGCATAGTAATTGGCGGGAAGAAAGGAAATGAATATTTTATTTCCCTTCATCAAATTTTTTTCACTGTGGTGCTCTACGTTCTTGTTCCTGTTGTGAAAGCTGGATCCACTTTCTCTTAATTCTAGAAGTGAACAGAAGAATAAGTCATAAGATTGAGGCTTATAAAGACCCCTGGAAGGTTATCCATTTTAATTTTCCTTCTCTAAGGTTGAGGTTAGGGCACTGGGTGATTTCTAGAATCTTGTACACTTGCTACGACTTGTCATCGGTGCATGAGGCCACTTTGCGAGTCTCTGAGAGGCCGAGGATTTTATTCCTCGAAGTGTATCACAGTGCTTCTGAGGACGAAACTGGAAATCGATCGAAGCTACCGTACTGAGTATGCTGAATGCGGTTCAATTTGGTATCGGAGGCAAGTGACGAGCTTGATTACTTGACTGATGATCGCCCTATGAGAGTATTGTCTTCACAGCAACAGCTGCAGTTTCCCTCTGATATAGAAGGTTAGATCGATGAATTTCTCGCAGCTGTAGCGATTTGGCTAGAGCTGAGGCAATAAAGACATTCAGCATAAAGTCAACTCAATCTTTACTCTGCAAGTGTAAGCTCCTCAACTTCAATGGGGTCTCGCTTGGGCACAGCTTTGACCTTTAAACTTTGATTGAACTGCAAGTGAGAATAGATCTGAGAAACAAGTTGGCTAAATCTACTACTCACAGCGTCTGTACATGAGAGTCAGTGGACAGTAGATGGCTTATGGCTAGTGTCTTGTGCTCTCTTTTCCCATGACACAGTCACCCCTTGAGGTCACTACTATTATGGTGTTCTGAACGAAGAACTTTCAGACATGGTTATGGTGTCCAGCACCTATTACGTCTGACGACGGTGTAGTTCTCTTCTGTTGACCTTCTTGAGATACTTCTAGTGTGACTTTGCTGACCCCTTGAGGTCACTACTATTATGGTGTTCTGAACGAAGAACTTTCAGACATGGTTATGGTGTCCAGCACCTATTACGTCTGATGACGGTGTAGTTCTCTTCAGTTGACCTTCTTGAAATACTTCTAGTGTGACTTTGCTGACGTAACCTTTGTCTTCAAATCCATTACCAGCTCGTTACGTGGACAGTTCATGTGGAGAGAATTTCGATATCTACCCTACTCAGATCATTTCATCAAAGTTTGTCGGTTTAGAGTCAACGCGATACTCGAACAACCATGATGCAAGTCATGTCTAGATGCTGTCCTGATCTATCATCAGCCTCCACTTACCTCCATACTTGACCTTAATGTGATAGCTGGTGTTAGTAACAATCTGAGGCTCGTAACGAATAGAGTTTGACTCGAAGCTGATATTGCAGCTTCCCACGACTAACAAGATGCAGATTTATTAGGCAGATGACAGTCATCTAAATCTCTAAATGGGTTTACGGTTATCTTAACCCTGGTCCTTTTCTCAAAGGCGAGAACCTTCTATTGAAAAGTAACAGTAAGTCTTCAGGTAGATATTTATCCTTCGCTAATCATCAAGTGACTCATGAATTTATTCTTTTTTGTTATCTTTTCCTTCCTTGTGGGTGAAAGGAAATCGTTCGGTTTTAAATCTAGTTGTGAATAAAAAAAATGTCGGTGATTGCCGTTTGATCTTCCCTTTGGCAGCAAACTATATTACGTGGGCGTGTGATCAACTTGGGTTCTTACAATACCTGTCCAAAACTTGGAAGAGAATCATAAGAAACAGTTGATTGTAATGGTTTAGACGATATCTAATGACTCGGACATTCTTCAGCAACAGTTGCTCTGTTTCCAGAATTGAGTCCGTTTTCTCCTAAGTATTATTCAGTACCGTGCATCTGATGGTGGAGCACGGATTGATGCGACCCGATGATGTATGATGACCCGATGACGGCGCCCTCACCGTGCTTTGAAATGCCTCACGTGTTGAGATATGTTCCATGTACACATGTAGCTGATCGGGGCTTGACCCACTCCAGCAAGTGAAGTGCGGTTCATAACCTGTGAGGACTAGGCCAGACTTGCCGATGTCGCAGGAACGACAATACCACATTTGGGACACGCATCCAACTGTAAGCAATTGTCTAAGAGCGCTTCTTCAAACCACGATCGAATGTTTCACATCAAAGTGGCATCATGTATTCCAGGAAGATCGTGACGATCACATGTTTGGTTGACGTCAGTGTTGTAGATTATGTCACTGTTGAGAGGGTAGTCCATTGAGACATTGATCCTCTAATAAAAGATTCTCATCTGAAGGATCATTGCTTCAGAAACTGCTTCTGCTCCACCTTCTCGAATTTCGATTTTGTTAACGGCAATAAGAAATGTGACCGTGGTATCACCGGTGAGAACAACATCTTGATTAAATAATACGACTCAACCACATCCACTTCCCCAATCCGCACTTTATAAGAAGAACTCGGAATTAGCTGCAAACCTCATTAAATGAGAACATGGTCTGCAGCTTATTAAGATTGTGACGCATATCCACAGTGATGATTGCCACTTGTATTATGCAGCTCGAATTGAATAGTTATACCGAGTATTCGCGCACTTCCATTTCATAGGAACAGATTGCAAGCTTAGTCTTGATTTGCATCTGCACTATGCTCTTCAGAATCACTCTCTGTACATGCAAGAGCACAGAAATTGGAACATAGCACTCGTTTGCAGGTTTCTTCCTGTCGGAGAATCAAATTCGTCCAATTCAATAGGTCCGGTGTATGACTTCTCATTTGCTCACGCCACCTTACTTTTCTCTGTATAACTGGCCCAGGGAGAACATTGCTTTCTCTCGGAACAGTAAGTAGTTCACACAAACTCGGACTATTAGAGTATCGTCGGCTGGGTCCAGTTTAATTCACATTGTGAGATCCAGACAAAGTCGGATCTTCCAGAAATTCACACGCGCCTGTTAAGGCACGGGCGGGGGTTTGGAAATAGTTTTCAACCAGCAATTGACGCGTCTCGGTTTCACCTCACTAACTGCGTCATTGCCCCAAGCGCAAAGATACGCCTTCAGTGTTCAATGAATTGTATATACGGCCTGAGTGAAGTTCATAAAATCCAAGCCGTATGGGTTTAATGTTTTCACGCTCAGATTTTTGGGCTATACTCATGTGCAGTACATCGAGCCACAGAGGGAACCGCACCTTTCCTGTATATAAACACAATTAATCAGGTACAAAGTTACCTATTTTTATTGAACGTGTCATTGCCAAATATCCTTAATTTTTCTTTCTTTTTTTAGCTTAGCTATTTTTACGAGGACGAAGAATAAGAGTACTGCTATATATATGATTTTTTCTACTATTTTTTCCAAGTCCCTCAAGCACTAGAGCCCTCTTGGATAACATCTCAACAAATAGAAGCAGGTCACAGAGCTATAACTCGTGGTCGAGAGATCGGATACCGTCCAGTGGTCAGAAGATGATTGAAAAAGCCAAGCGATCAGAAGACGATTGAAAAAGCCAAGCGAAGTTTATAAATTTGAACCATATTTTTCCAAACAGTACTTATTGTGCTTTTTATGTTTGCATGCTAATGTTTAGCTCTTATTAGTCTTTGTAATTGGACTTAAGGTGACTCATGGGACGTTTGTTTCAACTTGGTAGTAACCAAAAATCCAATAGACTTAGCAAAATCGTGAATTTTCTTAATTAAAGGAATTTGATTTGATTTTCTTACAATGGAAATCTTGTCATCCAACACTAATACTCAATTTTTATCATTGGTGAGATGATAAACTTCAGTAAATGCAATCGGATGTGCTTGAAATTATACATATAGATAAAAGATATAGAGTACTGGCACAAGTTAACACACCTCCATTAAAAAGCTCCTAACTTCACCTAGTCAACTGTCACTACCGTACCCCAACTTTTGTACAATAAGAGGAAAAAATCGTTTGTGAAGACAAAGTTCTGTCTAGACTGGCAATTGCAAATTTTCCTGACCTCAGGAATTTAAAATGTTGACATTTCTCTTTCCCCTTACGTCATTATTATACACTAGGATTTACGGAGTCCAAAAAACTACAGTGGTTGCATTACATCAGATCGGGGCTTTCACAAGGGAAGTAATCTGCTAGCCGACAGATAATATTACACTTCATGACAATTGCAATACAAACTTGAGAACTAGCATCGAGTATTGAATCAGAAAAACAGTTAGCGATTCAAAGTCTCAGACATTATGATAAAGCAAAAGCTGGCGGTTCTTGAGCAAAATAGTAAAGGTCCAAGAAATTTATTAAAGTCCAAAGTAAAATGCATCTCCGCGTTGGAGTAAAAGCAAAAGTCAGAATTGTTGTTATTGAGGACAACATAAACTGTCATGACAGACTACATTAGTGGAACAGTACCTACATCTATGAACATTTATGTGGAAACTTGTACTGATTGAATTGCAATCCTTCCAGGATTATATAATCTCAATTATAAAATTTTGATGTACAGCAAGTCGAAGAAAATAATAAGAATTTAGTGTTCTCTCACAGAGCTTCTTCAAACCCAAACACCCCCGAACTACATACCGCACAAGGCACAAGCCACGAGCGCCTATTACATTTACATGGTCCTTGTAGGGATTAGCTGTAAAAAACTTGACATTAAAGACAAAAATCAAAGTCTGGGAAGCAATCTTCATCCTCAATCTTATCGGGTCCGAACACGCTGTTCAATGCAAGGTCCTCCACCGCATTCGAATCTTGGATGTCGATATTGGACTCGCCATTCCATGTCACAACATTGGGCTCGCCATTCCATGCCAGAACATGTTGATTAGCGTCAAGGTCTCTTTGAGCCACATCTTCAGTAAAGGAACACATATCTCCAAATGTGCTACTGTTGATCCAATTCTCACTGGATTGTTCCAGTGCATCCGACCGTTTATTCTTTGCCGTGTTCCACCTATTCTTGATGGCATTGTCCGACCTGATAATTGTGTAAATGTAATACAATCAGAAGAATTACATGAGAAAATTGCTAATGAAAAATTGTAATAGAGCTTGGCCTCATAAAATATAAATTTTCCAAATATACTGAACTTACCTGCCAGGAATAATCTTGGCGATCTCTGCCCATCTGTTGCCTAACCTCTGGTGAGCCATAACCAACATCATGTCCTCTTCTTCACTCCAAGGCTCCTTTTTTATCTTGGGATCCAGATGATTGCACCATCTTCATAGCAATAAATGAGCAAGTTGGAGAGATTTCTTGTGAATAATTTAGTTCCACATTTGAAGTAAAGCACAAATTCAGTCCTTACAATTCCTATACACTCACGGTTGCAGTTCAAAACACTCATGCTAGCAGCATTTCCATCAATAGTATATTTCAGGGACTATCGTATTAAGTTAGGAACATATAAATCAGCCACATACTTCATACCCACCTCTCTCGACACTGCTTGCTATTTCTGCCAGGCATTGCCCGAGCGATGGCAGCCCATCTCTTCGTGCCGAACGTTTTGACCAATTCGAGCATCTTGTCGTCCTCCTGCGAAAATAGCTACTTAAATCAATCATCACATTTGTCGAACGTGGGATCTGGGATACCTCACTCTCGTAATTTAATATGTGCTTATATAAGAGTCACTTACCTCTTTGCTCCAATATCCTTTAACCAGGATAGGATTAAGAACCTTTTGCCAGCGGTGAAGGCACTGAGCATCTGACCGATTCCGTAAATTTGCAGCTGCACATGCCATCAGTCCAATACATAAATTCAGATATTACAAAGAAGAGGTGTGGTCACCTTTTGCGTGATCTCTGTCTCAATTCTCTTCGTCATCTCGGACTCAATTCTCTTCGTCTGCGCCGTCGTGCTAATGCTGAGATCAATCCACTACTGCAGCCTCTAGATCAATACTCCTTTGAGGAACTCTTTTGTGTAACTACGCTGTCACTCCGGACAGCAGTTGTTACAGACTTTACCACCCGCCAAAATTTGTACAAGTCCCGATGACAAGGGCACACGCGTATCACATCTAGCGGGTAGTTCAAATTTGAATTTGATGGACACGCCCCAACGGTTTCTGATACTCACCAATCTGTTTCCAATTTCGGCCCTTGAATTTCTCGACTGCTGCTCGTAATGTCTCGTCCTGTAGCAATAAATTTAACAGTCACCTTGGATTCAGATTAGTTGTAAAACTCAGTCATTGCATATATCCACTTCAGAACACCTGTGGATGTTAATCAGATGTTACATTGAATAACAGTGGTCAGAGAACCAGACCCTACTTAAGCATACTACAGATGGTGCAGGGCAAGTCAAATATCGGAGCGAGAAAATATATCCTGTGACAGCCTGATAATGAATTGAAAAACTTACCTTCAGTTGTATTCGCCAATCTAAGCATAATTAATCAACAAATAGAACCAAAAACATCACTCATGCTTGGAGGAACTCGAGTGCTTCTTCTGAAGGTCATGAGCATCATGGCTTCAAAATCGTGACAGAATCCACATTGAATTTGTCGAGTCTTCAAACTTTCCTAAGACTGATTTGTCTACATAGAGGCTACACCAGTATTAGTTATCAAACAATGGTTTACTCACCTCTTCCGCCGTCCAAGACGTGCTTGGCTTCCTTGGTTGCGGAGCATGATAAACTCTCATCTTCTTCCTGTTACATTCATAGAAGTTACAAGAATATTCGGCTTCAGAGACCATGCGTCGTTTGGATCTACATGGAGACAACAACAAAACGCTGTGTAATTTCGAGCAAAATAAATTGCGCTTACCCTTTTCTGTCAAGGGGAAAATCCACGACTGCCGCAGAAGGGAGGTTGTCCTCGCTAGAATTGATTATCTCTTCGAGGCATCTCCTCTGAGGCAACTTTGGTAGTGTCGAAGAACCCTCCATTTTCTCCAAGTTCGAATCGTTAAGAACTCTGAAGTTTAGTCATAAAGTTGTTAGTTTCACTAAACTGGAAACTTAGAAGCACAAAAATTAATGTAGATGACATACATGTCCAACTCCGAGGGTGCGAAATATCAGAGAGAAACATATCTGGTTGTATGACCTGCACTATTGAGGAGTTTATGATTGAAATTGATTACGATGATTCAGCCAGACCCTACAACTATAAATGTATTATTCATGCTTACACTCACTTGTGCTCGGATCTGATGCAAAGATCTTACAAGATTTATGGATGGATCTGGGAGTCAACAAATACATGTGGTTAGATATTTCATTGTCTCTTGTCATGCTATCTAATTCAAAATAAAAGGTTTCCCGAAGACATAATTTACGCTTGTCTCGTTAACTGATGAAGTATTAATATTGAAACGTCATAAAGCAGTGATAGGTTACTGATTATCATGATCATTTTTCAATATGTTACTTCTGAAAAGGAAAAGAACATAAATCATCAGAAGATCTGGCTGAATTTCATGAACTTGCCACAAATATTAGGGAAGCTTTTGGCAATCTAATAAATCTTGTCAATCTTGTGACAGAAGTCTTCCTACTAGATATTGCATCAAGCAATTCCTGTTGGTAGGTCAGACTTACCTCCTACTGGCATTGTGGCGAGAACTCTTAGATACAGTTAGAATCCAAGATATATCAAACACCCTAAGTCTAAGCTACCAAAGAAATCTTAAACCTATGGACAACATTTATCAACTTCAGGATATGGTAAAAAAATTGGCATCTCTACCCTAACTATTCCATCCTTTAGACAGAAAAATATCCCACATGGAAAACATATCTGGTGTCATCTGGAAAAAGATGGATAACTGTAACAAATGTATCTTATGCTGATCCTATCGAAGTGATCAACAAGAGAATTTGGTAAAGAGGATAATGTATACTGATCTCTCGTGCATCTCTTTGTCAGATAAGCGTGCAAGATGTGAAAAGAACTGATCCAAGGAAGTGAGATGTTCAACAGCATAATATCGCTCTTCTCTCGTCTATGCGTTAGTCGGAATCTTTGTCATATTAGACAAATTTGATTGCTACAGCGATCTTGAAATAGCCAGAAATTTTCAACAGTTCTTGCGCAATATCACAATGGGCAAACCAACATATACTCTATGAATATGAATGAAAGAATTGATCTCATGAAGATAAGTAACCTTTTTCATCTAGGGTCTGGAACTAGGAATATTCCAATGTGACGTAATATTCAACAGTAAGGTGGGAATCTCGACAAAAAGATACCATCAAGAAGTAAGAGGTATGAAAAGTTTGATTAAGTATCTAAACAAGATATGAGAGGTATTATTCAACAGTAAGGTGGGAATCTCTAAAAACATACCATCAAGAAGTAAGGGGTATGGAAAGTTTGATTAAGTATCTTATGATTGAGAGGCTTTATGATCATCATTGTTCGTGTAGAGTGGTGTAACGTATAATTGGAGTAAGATATGGGAAGGAGCATATCGTCTGGAATGATGTGAGATAAGAGAAGAAAAACACGTACCAATTTAATTCAGTTGATAGAATCAGAATTCCTATGGGTCTATTTTCAAATTTGAGAACATATAGTTCTCAGTAAAAGCATTTTTTTGTTATGCAGTTGGTACACACAAGAAATATGTATGATCTAATTAATGAGCACCAAATGGCGTGATAAGTAAAGCTTGGTAGTTTGAATCATAGCTTGTCAATTATCAACTAGAAGTTATCTTGCTTGAACTTCCTCGAAAACATGATATCCAAAAACCACATAAAAATAAAGATATTGAAGGATATGAAAAGTCGGAAACCTCCTCACCTGCTTAACTGCACCATTATATTTGAAGGTCAAGTTTTATTATTTGTCGTCAAGTGTACAAACCTTGACCTCAACGCATGTAAGTAGTGTCAAAACAGTCTGATACAGGTTGTTGTAAACAAGTTTAACTCTTATTTTCAATGTTTCCTTCAGGTGTTGAGAAGGCTGTAGAAGATTCCATAAACTTATTCATATATGATCTCGCTAAACACCAGCAAATGGATGATAGAAGCAATAAGCAAGAATCCTTCCTTCGAATAAAAAATAATTTCTCAGAAGATTCTAACCACAAGGACCCATCTAATTTTACAACATATCAAACATCAAGTAGAGGAATGGATTCAAGCGATAAATTGTAAAATACATCCAAAAAACTGGTTTCTACATGATAAAATTAGTACAATTTTTATAAGAAAAAAACTTGTTTCATTGAGGCTTCTTTGGTATAGGATTGCCTAAGAGAAACAAGGTTGAAAATCAGGAAAGATTGACTTTAGTCTTTTCTGATGTGTGTCTTTTCTAAGTTAGAATCATCTCTTTTGGCTTATTTTGAAAATAATATCCTTCAAATAGTGAGATCTGGTGACAATGGATTTTTTATCAACACTCCATCTGTCGAAATTTCAGAATCTTATCTGCATGAAATACTAATTCACATGGAACGAGAGACGATGTGGGTTTTCTTCAACCAAGAGGTTTCTGCTTTCTTAGAAAGCGAATGCTACAGAAGGTTATATGACAACATTTTGGATGTTAGTCATGAAATCGAATGATCCCTGAAAAGGATTTTTGAGTTGGATAAGTACTTTTCTTGTATGGGTATAGTGAATAGGATGGTCAAACGTACGAAGTTCCTACAGCATATAAATAGACTTGTTTCATTATCTTTGTTAATCAGTTGGAAATTAGATTTCTATAATAGAAAATAAAAGATATAAACTTTTCTTGGATGTTTGCATTCATATACTTCATATATGGAGAAGAAGAAGTTGAATAGTTTCCTATGAATTTGCTATGTCAAGGCGGTAGAGTATGTATGAAAGAATCTCAAAAGAGATTCTTTTGACCCTTTAAAGGGACTAAGGAGATCCTAAGAGGTCTTCTAACTCAATATGGCAGTATGAAGCAACAAATAACTTTTACATGATCGCTTGAATCTTGTAAATTACTTGAAGTTGGTTGAAATTAGCTAGAAGACGTGAATAGTTGAACAAATCGCATCGTTTGTTTTGATTCAATTAAGATATTTGAACAATGTAAAAAAGTCAAGATGAAGAATTACAGCAATACTAAGATGACCAAATTTTTGATAGTTTTAACCTTTCAGACACAACCATGACGATAGTTACAAGTACTTTTACAAATCTTATCAAATTGTTTTATAGCTTGTAGGTTTCGAACACAACCATGGCAATAATTAAAAGTACTTTCAGAGATGTGACAAGATTTTTTGTCAGTTTCTACGTTTTCGACGCAACCATGACAATACTTAGAATTACTGTTACGAGTCTTCTCAAATTTTTTTATAGCTTTTTACTTTCAAACACAACTATGGCAACACATACAATTACTTTCACAAATCTAATCAATCTTTTTGTTAGTTTGTAAGTTTCAAACACAACCATCGCAATAATTACATGTACTTTCACAAATCTAATTAATCTTTGTGTTAGTTTGTAAGTTTCAAACACAACTATAGGAATACTTGCATGTACTTTCACATATCTGATCAAGATTTTTTGATAGGTTTTATAAGTTTCAAACTCAACCGTGGCCATGCAAAGTACTTACATAAACCACAATATATGTCACCATGGCAAGACTGAGGAAACACAGTGAAATGCAGCGATTGAAAAATTACCTTTTGAAATCTTTGGATCAAACTAAATATGAAACTTTATCGTTGAAGTAGTACATTAATCTAGGAATGAAGCCATTCAATTTGTAATTGGGCAAATAAGTTCACAGGAAAAGAATCATCCTTCTAAACACAAACTACTTACACTGTTCACATCTTCTGTGCAAACTTTATGTTTATATAGCGTCGAAAGGGTCATTGAGCTGAGATAAATCATGTCATTAGTGTGTAACCACATAACATGAATCCAATTAGTAATTGCGAGTGAAAAAAACGAAAGATTTATTACTCTCCTCCTATTATACTATTTTACTGAGATTTTGTTGATAATATTGAAATGTCAACAAACCTGAGCTAGATCACAACTCTCTGTCTCTCACAGCAACTCGATCAGTAGCTCGGCAGCAGACAATGCACGGCAAGAAAGTACTATGCGAATGATCGCTAAGGAATCGCGTATGTCACAAGTTGGAAACTCAAGCAATCTGTCTAGACCATCGTCTCGTGAACTGAACTGAACACATTGAACTAAACGATAGGTAAGACGGAGGACTTATCTGTTCCAAGTTGAAACTGATGAAATTCAAACAAAAATTTGAAATTTCCGAAGTAACCTCCCATCCAACTGCAGGAGCCTGGCGCGGAGACGCGGAGAGTAATTCTAACGTTTGAAGAAAAGCAACGTCAAACAAACGTCGATGTCGTTGACCGTTGGTGATACGAGAGTTTCATCGCAATCTCAAACAAAGTTTCCGATCTTGTAACTCCGAATCTCTTCTTCGATAATGAGGTAAAGTTTCACTTTCAGGAAGAAAACATCGTAACCTCAACGAGAATATACGTTCCATCTTCCCGTGTGTGGGTCTATGGACCATCTAAGCTTTTGCGCAAATGAACGTAATCTCAACGAGAATATTCCTTCTATGTTCTCGTGTGTGCGTCTATATACCATATAAGCTTTTGCGAACTGTCATATTGAAACATTGCGAAATGAATACAACATTTCGCATACTTCATATCTCGTGGATATGTTTTAATTAAAGCTCACTATTATCGAGAACATATTATTGGGACGGAGATTCCAATAAGTACTGAACTCTGTTACACTCTCATGATGCATGTCATCATAAAATTGTGCGAGGAGAAATTACAGACCCAGGGGATCATCATACTCGATTTAGCACAGCCAGAAGGAAAGCATAAAACGATCATAAGTTGTTTTATCTCCATAATTTTACATAGTCTTCGTGAAAAAACACGAAGACTATGTAATTATTACAACTTTATGAACACGATGATATTTGTAATAAAAGATGGTAGAGATGTAGATATCGTGCGATGAAACTAAGAATTTGAATACAAATATTGCCTCACAACATATCCTACAGTTTTGCACTTCGTGATAGAAAATTAAATCCTTATGTAAAGATTCATAATGAATGTTCATTAGATACTTAGATATTAGCATGATGTTTGCAGAATATGATGTATGCAGAATATGGCCGTTTTCTTATCCATATTAGATTACTATAATACAATTCCAATGTAGAGTTTTTGATTACTATGATATTTTTACCATTATATTTTGTTGAAAACTGCTTAATCAACAAGGGATCGTTAATGACATCGCGGTTTAGCCCTCAATCATCAGAATTCTAAGCATTAGATCCCCTAATCTAGTACTTTCATATTGGAAATATGAAAGTATACTACCTTTTTTACTCGATGAAGTATAAATATAAAGAACATCAGATATCAATGTTTATGGTTTCAGTTCATGTATATTTATTTCAATTTACAGCATCTAAAGTTTTACTCTGTGGTACCCCACTTTTGGTAATTTTGAGGAAATTAAGACATTTTTGGAAAACTGTACCCCGGCAGCAATGTAAATAGCCTTCGGTGCATCAAACCAGAGTGAATTCGGAAGATCGCAGAGATTCTCGAGGGACCTCGTAGAATCTAGGAGTTGGGTGCAGCGGTAAGGAAGGGCACCACCCTCCCTGCGAGCTCTGCAGTTAGGATCCCTACGGCGCAAGGCGCAAAACCCGCCTTCGGCGTTGCGTCCGCGGCGGTAGGGAAATCCTTCATATTTAGGTCAACCCCCAAACGTGTTGACTTAGTTAGGGTCTCGTTGGAAAGAGCTCGATGCGCTGATTCCAACGAGCCCAAGAACGCCAATAACGAATGAGGACTCCGGGAGTTATGAAGGTTGTAAGATACTCAACTCTTCGCCTGCGCACAGGCGGAGAAGTTTTGTCCTGTGCGCGGACGAAGGAAGTCCGCCTGCGCATAGGCGAAATAGGGTTTTGAGGTAGGCGCGGAGTTCGCCTACGCACAGGCGTGCGCCTGTGCACAGGCGCTTCGGCGTCGGCGGAAAATCCGCCTTGGGCCCTAGAAATGCGCCTTGTGAGGTAGAAATTGTACGGCGCCTTCTGCGCCAGCGCAACGCCGCGGACGAGCAAGGAGCCGCCAGAATAGTAAAATCCGTACGGACCGTACGGACTGTACGGACGGGACGGATGGATGCGCTCTTGGACGGACGGAGTTGCGGCGGCGAGAGCGCCGACGGAGAGACAAGGAACGGACAGTCTGGACGGAGTCAGTTGACCGCGGTCAACGCCTTCCGCGCCAGCGCATCGACGCGGACGGAGTTCGCCTGCGCACAGTCGAGCGCCTGTGCACAGGCGGGTGAAGTTCCGCGCCGGCGGAGAATCCGCCGAGGAGTCCGCCTGCGCGCAGGCGGGATATGAACTTTTGTCCGACATGCGGACACACGCGCCGAGGCAGAGGAGGATTGGCTGAGGAGCGGTACGAACGAGTGTACCGCGCAAGGCGGAAAATCCGCCTTCGGCGCTGCGCACCCATGTCCGCGGCGTAGTACGCTCGCGGAGTTCAAATTCACCAATTCGAGCGTGAGAGTTTAATCGGCGACGGCGGAGCGTGAAGCCGCGCGTGAGAGCGGAGACCGTTTCAGCGTAGAGCCGGCGCGGCCATCAATTGAGTCGTCCTTCACGAGCAAGAGCCGACCATGACCTTCGACCGGGAGGCGGAGAGCGTCCCATTCTTGAATTCGCGATTCCATTCTCTAGTGCGAGCTGCGCGCGTCCATCTGCTGGCTGCTAAGCATTCTCGACATCGCCGCGCAGAGGATTTCTTGGTGATTGAGGGAGAAATGAGTGCGCGTGATTTGGAATTGAGGGCGATTCGAGTTTGCCGAGGAAGAAAGGAGCTCGAGCGGAGCGGAAGTAGAATGAGCGAGCGGGCGAACTCCAAGAACGCAATGACGAGACTGGGCCGATTGCGGATGCTGCCGCTCCGACTACCACAGAACGGGCTGCGCGCTTTCGAGGAGCGCCTGATAGCAAGAAAGCTCGATTTCTTGCTATGGGGATGGAACTACATCTGTGGGGATATGGTGCGCGAGTGGCTAGAGCCACAGGGACCCCCTTCGCGCGGATTGCGTCCGCATGTTGATCGGTGGACGGTCCAAGATTGGGCGCAGGCATTGGGGAGATGTGCCGGCATGCAAGGGCACTTCCTCTTCGATAGTGAGAGCGTCAAGGTGACCAAGCAGGAAGAGGCGCAATTTGTGGAGTTGTTCAAGAAGGGGAAGTCTACCAAGAATGGGTACAAGACCCGCGATTATAAGGATCGATTCCGCCGGACTTTGTACGCGGCGCTGCTGCAATTACTGCAGCCACACCGCGCCTGCTACATCACATTGTGGCAGGTCTCTTTTGTGGAGTGCATCATCGAGGGAACTCCAATTCTTTGGGCGAGCATCCTGCACAGGGTGATGCGACAGCACGCTTTTGAGGAGAAGGGGGGAACTCTAAACCATCTCTCTCCTTTCCTCATCAACTTTTATCGACAGCGGAATTGTTTGACAGCGGCGGATCTTGCGCGTTTTCCGCCGTTGTCCGTCGACCATCCCGGGAGGTATGTGCGGGAGAATGAGGTCGACACTGATGCAGAGGAGTCACCGACTTCTACTCCGTCAAGGCGGAGGGACGAAGGGAGGAATACTCCTGCAGCAAGAGCGCTACGGAAGCGGCGATGGAGAGAGGAGTCCGAAGAAGAGCAGCATCAAGAACCCTCTGCTCCCATTCGACCGCGGCCGTTGTACGAGTCATACAGCCGGCCGAAGCAGAAGGCGCGCAGGCTGGTGTTACCAGCCAACAGCGCGGACACGGCGACAATTGCCACAGAGAAAGGAAGTGCGTCGCCGGAGAAGAACGAGGGAGCGCGGACGTCCGCAGGAGCAACGGACCACGCTGCAGCCTCGACGGACGGGAGGCCGCCTACGGGCCAAGGGCCTCCGGAGTTACCACGTGCGTTGCGGACAGGTGTTCCGCCTACGCACAGGCGAGCCTCCACGGACGGGCGAGCCTCCACGGACGGATGAGCCTCCACGGACGGACGACCACAAGCGGACGTGGACCTACGCCTACGCGTGGGAAGAAGCAGTCCGCCTGTGCACAGGTCACCTCCACACGTGCCGCCTGTGCACAGGCATGAATCACCCCCGTTGCAACGTATGAAGGGGAAGGAGCCGGCGGAAGATCCGCCTACGAGACACCCGCCTTCGGGGCCAGACCCTCCGGCGCACAACGCGCCGCGATTTGCGCCTTCGGGCCGAGGAGAAGCGAGCAGGGAGCGTGTGGAGGCCGCACCCTCGGCAGGTAATCCGCCGGTAGATGCGCCTTCGGCGGTAGGGCCTCAGGGCCAAGGGACATCGGGCGAGCGGCCCCCGGCTTTGTCGCCTTTGGAGATGGACGTCCGCGGCGCTGCGCATGCGGGGGACAAGGCGCCGGCATTTGCGCCTGCGCACAGGCCAGGCACAGCCCCCGCGGACCGAGCGAGGGAGCAGCACCTGACGGAGGAGCGGATTGACTGTCCGCGGGACGAAACTTTGGTGCGCGATGCGCAATCGAACCCCGTGCGGACACCCTCCGCTCGATCGCCTTATGCGGCGGACGTCGGCGGCAGAGAGGATACGGTAGAAGACCAACAAGCAGAGGACGGGGATGTAGCACGGGCACATTCGCCCACCGCCTTAGACATTTTGGCAAAGAGGAGCGATGCTGCAGCGGTGCCTTCGCAGGCAGCACACGTCGACGACGTGCAGCCCCACTCGGGTCAGTCGCCGACGCAATCAATGGCGACTGAAATTCTCCACTCGGATGATGACGACGGAGGCTCCACCGAAGAAATGTCGGGAGCGGGGGATACCGAGGAGGAGGAGGAGGAAATTGTTGGAGCGCCGGCGGCGGCGCTCTCTGAGCAGGTGATTCCGTTGCTGAGGTACTTGGATCGCAAAATCGATAAATACGCCGATCCACTCCACCCGGGATCTTACATCGAATTAGTGCGCAGGCGGACTCGCACTAAAGTCCACACCAGCAAGCTACTAGCTAGGGTGGACCAGGAGTTGAGGGAATTGAAGGAGAGGCATGCCTATTTATGGGGGCAGTACAACCTTGAGAGGAAATCGCACGCCCTCGGCAGGATGCGGAAGGATAGAGTGGAAGAGCTCACCAGGGATG